GTACCCCTAAGTCTCTGGAACGGAATACATGCACCAGTGAACCTACAACTACGCGATTTATATTTTAAAAATAATTAAATTCACTTCGCATTCAAAACTTGTGAATTTTGAAAAAAAAACAAATTTGCTGATTAAATACGGACAACCGTTTAACTGAAGTAAAATGGGTTTTCCCCTTACTATGGATGTCTGCCTAGTTCAGTTCATCCACATTCCGCTACAGTTCGCCTTTATTATCAGTTCGAAATGGGGTGGTTCCATAATACCCGCAGTGTTCCATAATACCACCTTCTCCTCTAACATTTAAAAACTCGTTTTTAAACCGAGTTTTCAATTGACAATATTTGAAGAATAGATATAAACTGGACAGAAATGATTATACCTTTTCTTATATCCATTAGATACCTAATTTCGCTTCATCTTTGACTAATAAACATATGTAACAAAACTAATAATTAATATAATGATTTTAAGAAAGAAGGAACAGTATATAAAGTTGAATGCAATTGTAATAACCCTAGAATTTATATTGGTGAAAAAATAATTAATATCATTAAATTCACATAAAGTTATTATTGTATAATAACATTGAAATACTACATAATGTATACAGTATAAGAAAATTTAAAGAACATTTTCGTGAAAAATGAATAAATATCTCGGTTGGCATGGCCATAGATTTACATTAGTATCAGATAATACAATATAATTAATATTGTGGCATGTACTGGTGTGACATTACAATAATACTTGTCCTTTTTAATAAATGTTACAGTAGAAATATTGTAAGTATAATACTTCTTTAGTTATATATATAACGAATAAAGGCCAGTGCGTATTTAACCGTTTATAATTTTAATGTAAAACCTTTCTTATTAACCAAACAGATTATTATTACTATTATTAGTAAGCCGAGTTTTGCAAAAAAGAAAAGAATTATCAAAGTGAAATATGGAGGACAAAGTTGGAAAGGAGACGAAGAGCCGAAGGCAAAGTCGAGTGATGTGAAATATAGAAATTTGTAGAAATATTAAGCGACTCTTCTTGAATTTATTGAAATTAACTCTTCTCGATACTTCAATCTTTTAGTTTAGGAAATTTAGGGAATTTACCTATGTGAAATTAGGGGGAAATTTTTGGTGTAGGAGACTATCTTGGAGGAAAATTTTTCGGGAAGGAAAATGAATTTTAGGCGGTGTGGAAATTCTGAAAGATTTAGAACCACAGAATAAAAATACTGTATATTCGTAATTCGGTACGGTCACGGTGTTTTTATCATAACCAAAACGATTACAAAGCCTCAGCTGATTTGTATATCTTCTAAATCATTTCTTTTCCACTTAGCCCTCACCCACTTCACATTTTTTCTCCTTTTTAAAATTATTCTTTTTATAACTGAAAAAAATCTCTCTCACCTATTACCGAGCTTTCTGATCCATTTAGCTAAGGTTCGACGGAAACCGAAAGTTCTGTCTGACATTATACCCGGGTTACCCGGATTTTTTTTTTCTTTCTAGGGGGAGCTGTTACTTGAGACTTGGCAACACTGAAAGAAAATACTGTCTTACTTTTGGGGGTGATGTGGGTGTTGGATTCACAGAGACTTTGGGAATAAAATCTAAATTAAAAAATAAATTCGTGTTAAAAAACAAAAAAATGATCACACTAGATCATTCCAGAACAAAATCTTAGTTACGCCAGTGAGAAAACAAATGTCTCTTCTATTTACAAAAGTTTCAACAGATGGCGCGTACTGTCCCATGCGTTCTTCTCACCGACATATTACAACTGTATTCATAAGAATTATAACCAATCACAGTTCACTTTACTTTTTGTAGTGTACTGTACGTAATGCTTATTGGTTTATTTTTAGCTGTATTTTTGATCTTTATGAATACGCACATTATTATTATTTTTTAAAATTTACTAAGCCAACTATAATTATAATTTCGTAAAATTTCTTAAAGTAAAAAATGATAATTTAAACCCGCGATAGTATGTAACGAGAGAAAAATGAACCAATTAAATAGTGCTAAATTGTTAAGCTTAGAAAATATGCTTCTATAACGTGTCGCCATCTATTGATAACGCTAGTAATTACGATTCAAATAAAATTTTAAATTTATAACTTCGTAATTGTATGTAATACGAAACTATTAAAAAGTTCAGAATTATTAATAATGGCTTTACCATAATTATAATTATTTTTAATAAATGGAAAATAATTTCGTTTTTTCTTTTCTAAATTAGGAAATGACGTCAAATGGAAATCAATTATTTTTTTCTTCTTTTAAATATTTTAATAGAAAAAAATAGTAATTATAGTAATGAAAATTCGCATGCTAAATTGCTTGTTTATTTTTAAATTCATTTAAAACCTTAAATTAAATTCAAAAATTTTAAACACGTGACTTAAAATATTTTTGAATTCGAGCCAACGAATTAAAGATAAAAGAGAATAGCACGTGATCTCCGATCGCTTTCCCTATTGGTCTATTTGAATTTCTTTACTTTCGCCATTAATGGTAAAAGCACCTGCGGGTTACCGAGAACGTAAAAAAAAAAGTAGTTGGACTTAAATGCAATTATGACGAATTAAAATTGTGCAATGTACAATTTATTCTTGTAATATTAGTGAAATATCGCTTAGGGGGAATAACAAGGTTGAGTTGAATAAACATTTGAAGGTTGACTGTCATATTTAATAAATGCCAACGTCCAGAATTATTTCATGGGAAAGTATTTTATTGTTTTTATTCGCTCGTGAGTATTTTATAACTAATTTTACACACATTTTAAAGTGTTTAAGGATTATCCCCTGTTTAGTTATTCGATCCGCCTACGAGAAACATTGCACGGAATTTCGCAAATTGTGCAAAATTATCTAAAAAAATGTGAAATTTATGGTAATTTTCTTATTGTATACGGATGTGCTGTATAATAATTTACAGGATTTTCTTTGAATTGAAGTCATTGCTTTTGATATAAATGGTTTTGGTCTGGATATACTCGCTATCCTGCTGTTCACGACACACTACGTGTTATTTGAGGGTTAATTTCCTTAGAGAAACGTTTATTTGGCTTTGAATTTCTAGGAGGGAGGGGTTCGATTCGTGGTAAAAATTACAGAAATTGGAATGCGAGTGTTAATTTAGGTGTACGAACGAAAGTATGAAAGAAACCAAAAATACGAGCGAGTGGCTTATCAAATTTCCAAAAAATCGATGGACATATGCAACCTGATCCAGTGAAACACTAGTCGAGAATTCGCGTCCCTCCAACGAGCTGGCCACGTGTTTTCTTCACGTTTGTAACACCTAAATAGGGGCCAGTTTCCCATAGAAGATACTCCCCCTCCAGTATACAAACAGATGCAAATTTAAATAAATACCATTTCAAACAATCGTAGAATTTGTTTGCATTTATTAGTAAAAAAAAAAAAAAACTTTTTTAAAAAATGCAATTAAAATTTGTTGTGTTTTCTACCTTTTTACATAAAAATACAAAGTATAATCGAATTACAAAAATCTGGTAAATTTTTCCTATATATATATATAAAAATTGTAAAACCAAATAAATAATTTTCGTTTTTTTCTTTAAAAAAAAAAAACAGAGAGAGATTTGTTAGTATAGAAGTATCGCTGAGGCTTGCCCATATGATTTAAAATTTCATATTTTTGTTTGTAAGATAAGACTAGAGAACTCGTTGTAGGTTCTGTAATCTCTTACATATTTGTTAAAATGTTTTGACTAGAAGTTGTTACACGGATTAACGAATTACCACAAAACAAAGTTTACTGGACAGAATATACCGACACCGTATTAGATTATCTAAAAGTTATTGAGCTAGCTCGTTACTTGTAATCGATTTCTTGACGTTCGCTGTTAGTGTGAATGGCTTCCAATATGGGAGAATTGATTATGATTTCTGTACTGGATCTCTCGAATAAGGCGTGATTGTCACGTGATCTGGTGCTCCTGTGTACTTCCGCTCCGTTTGAATAAGACCTCATTTCCGACGAACTCGATGCGAATCTTCCGGATGATATTGTATCCGGGACGGTGACAAATTCCGAAGACGATCTTTCCAATGGTGGAGGATGAGATCGGAAGTAGGTAGGAACGTCTTCAACAAATTCCGAAGTGGATCTCTCTGCTATGCTTCTACTTGTGCGATAAGTGCAACCGGTGTCTACACTCCACAGAGATTCGCGTTCTGCTCTGGTGAAATCCATGTCGTATTCCGTTACTGATCTCATATCCGCATCGATGGTTTGCCTGTTAGGATAGGAAGGACGACGCATCCCTTCGCTTCTCTTTCTGTATCTTTGTACGTAAACGGATGGCTGTGGCAGTGTTTCGGCTGGAGGATTCAGGGGAGGAATGGTGAGGATCTTGATGATGACCGTCCACGCTTCTCTGCTAAACAGATTCTCGTATCTGACATCTTCCGAAATTTTTATGTATTCCTCTACCGTGGTAGCTTCTTGAATTAAGGATCGGAATGTTTGATTCGTAGTTATTAATGTCCTCCACGTTTCTTTATCTTCTATGTTAAGTTCTTCGATTCCTTCCATACGAGGTGGTTGGAGTACTCTTATTAATACATCCCAATCTGGTGAATGAGTTGTAGTTGGGGGAGCAGGAGGTGGCGGTGGCGGTGGCGGTGGCGGCGGCTGTGGCGATGATGTTGGATGGGACGATTCTTCTGTTCTGGAAGTTACCTGATATTTATCGGTCACCGTATTAGAATAATCGGTTATATCGGTTGGATAATGTCGAATGGTCACATCCCAAGATGGCGAAGGTGTTGGCGCTTTTTCTAGTGGCTCTATGGTATCGCGAGTATGTTTTGTGACGTGTTCTGTGGCTATTGTTTCTGTAGTTGTCGTTACGTAAACGTCATCGATATTCTGGACCATAATTTTAGGTTTGCGTGGCACTAAAGCTCTTTCTTCCTCCAACAGTTGCGTTGTTGTCTTTTGATGGCGCGTCGTGTCTTCAATGGTGTCAGTTAAATCTTGAGTGTCGATTAAATAATCAGTGTAAGTGGCGGTTTGTATATTTGGCTGTCGAATGTAGGGTTGAACGGGTGGTCTACTTTCTACTTCAGACTGTGACCAGTTATCGTTATCAGGAATACTTCCGTACAGAGAAGGTGGGCGTCTTTTCACTCGAGTTTGGGTAGAAGCTATTTGTGGTTGAATATAAGGAGGGGGTGGTCTTATATCTGATTTTGCTTCAGTCATTTTGGCATATCTTCTATCAATAGATTCCTGTTGTAGTATGTCTTCTCTTTCGCTTATCGTGGTCAACAATTGCTCCATTGCAATCTTGGTCTTCAGGCGAGGTCTCTTTTCTGGTGGTTTAGTAAGAGTAGTTATTGGCACAGAAGAAACGCTTTCATCGCGTTCTTGATCTAGAGGATAACCAGATCGAACGCTTCCCTCGTCTGGGATGAAAGCAGTATTTTCGTAACGATATTTATCATGTTTAGTAGTTGAAGTTTCACTAACCAAAATGCTTCTTCGACCTTCCATTTCTTCAGCATCGGAATTAATCGAAGAAGGGGATTCACTCGGATAATCTGATGGAATCGTATCACTACGATCGGCTGTAGTGAGAAGTGCAGCTTCGGAACCAGAAATGGATTGTGCAATAGCACGAGGGATCCGAATCTGATCGAACATCAGACTACCCATTGTCGATCCACTGAGTTTAGTGATAGCGCTTCCGGGTGCAGAAGACATAGCCTTCTTTCTTTTGATAACTTTAATATTTCTTTTCTTGAGGCAATAATAAGCAACTCCTATACCTAAAAGTAGAAGCGTGAGAAATAGTAAAGCGCAAATAATCAACAATAGTTCCACTTCGGATAATTTAGGTGGAAGAACAGCAGCTGCTGCTGGAGCAGGTTCGATTCTGCAATTAATAAAATTCTGTGTTAATCATAAATGACCATTTAGGATTATAAACTATAGACGGTGTGAGACACCACTTACATGGGAGCTACCGCATTATTGGGCGTAGGTGCAAGAGGTGGGGGATATCTACAGATAATAGTTTTTATTTCGTCTTCTTCTAGTTGCAAAGAACGGTGGAATCTCACTATAATATTGTTGACAAATACCCTTGGCGCTTCCTTGAAATAAAATATACATTATTTAAATAAATATGTCAGTTCTTTTTATTACATAAATATTTCACGAGTTTTATACGTTATAAATCCTTCAAAATAAGTTTTTCTTCTCGAAACTTCACTAAAAAAAAAAAACAGATTTCTAAAGAGAAAATATTCTAACTATATCTTATAGAGACATTAATGCAGTCTACAGGTGACACTCATCAATATTCTTGGAGAATGTTCTTGGTAGGAGGAGGTAACACTGCGGGGGTGCTACTGTCGAAACCGGTCGCTAGTCAAAACTTGCTAAAAGTGGTTTTTGCTTTGACTCCCAACATCATATTTATCTTACTACCGGTGGCTAAAATTATATATAAAACCAGGACTGGTTTTAATAAAGAAGTTGTTAAACTTATACAGGGTGGAATTGTAAAATAGTACAGTACAAAATACTAAAAAGCTCTGTATTTTGAAATATAAAACAAAATTCATACCAAATTCACAAAAAAAAACTTTTTTTAAAAAAGTTTTTGGTATATTTGATTATATTCTATTTATTCTTCGATATGCAATTTTAAAACTTTTTAAAGAAGAGTTTTATTGAGGAAGTCGTATAAAAACATAAAAGAAAGTTTACAAAATGAAATTTCTTAATGGAATTATAAAATCGACAAAATGTTTTGCAAGCAGATGTCAACATGGGTGTTGTTCTTCAAATTACAACGGGTTGAGTCAAATACAGGAAATAAAAATACAGTATTTAGTTTGGATTCAAGCCAAAGAACCAGGTAACGGAAAACTAAAAAAAAATATTCATCATAAAAATGTCATAACCAGAAGTTTAACTATAGTTATTGTATTATGGATAAGAAATAAAAGTAAAAAAATGTGTACAAAATGGCTCGGAATAATTTTAAAAATCTATTTTAAAAGAAAGACGTAAAAAAACAACGTTAACTTTCTTTAAATATTTCAATAATATCTATTTTTACTTTCATAATTTTTGCAAAAAAGGCGTGATAATGTTACCTGTCGAGTCCCACAACCTTTGAGTGGGATTCTGAGTTGATAGTATTTACTTCCATCGCCATAAAACCGGCACGGGCTGGTTCGATCATAATCTGTATATGTGATACCACGAAAAGGTTCGCTGAAGTTCAACTTAACAACCATCTCTCCGGAGGCACATGATAGAAATGCTGAAAAATAACATTAAAATTTAATGTATAATTCTACTTTACTAAAAAAAATTTTTTTAGAAAAGAGGAAAGTTTACCTCTTGTTCTGTTAGTCAAAATTTCGCTGCTAAATTCGTCAGCCACAGCTTGACGAACAACACTTTCCACTCGGCTATCATCACGAATGCCTTCTTGCAAAACAGCAGATAGAATCTAAAAGAAAATAAAATTTAATCAGAATAAACACTTATTTTTTTTCTTTCCTATTCAAATAGTTTCAAAAGCAAACAGTAAAAAAAAAAATGAATTCCTTTATAGTCGGCACTTTTAACATGCCATTGTTTGCGTACCTTTACAGCCATTAACTGCCAATGATCTCCGTTTTTACTTTACAATCACTCAAAAAATTATTTATAATGCAATCTATAGCGTAATAAATCTTTTCCATTGAAAATTGCAAGCTTGAAATTTTAAGCAGGCCATTTCCACAATCAATCTTAACTTTAAGATTTTTTTAAGACCGAGATTTACTCAACCGAACTTTCTTTTTCTCCTATGCAATAAAACTTTACCGAAAAAAATCTCATCTCATCCAAGTCTAACAGAGTAGTAAAGTTCAATGGCAGAGTTTAAACGAAAGTGACGCCATTTTGTTAATGATAGAAATAAAATTTTACATAGATCCAACGATAATTTTTAATACCAGACAAATTTATATAATATTTCCAACATATATTTATGAACGTTTGAATTAAATATAAGTAAAAATAATCTTACCTGCAGGAAGAAGACAGTGATTGATAACCATAGCGAAACCATCTCGCCACAAAATCTAAAGAAAGAAAGAAAGAAAAAAATTATTAATATAAAACATCTTAAATATTTTAATATGCTAAAAAAATAAAAGTTGTAATCTTTTTAGGATCAAAGTAATTTAGAAAAATACTCCAACAAGATCAAACTTCACACCGTTTAAAGCATCTTACCTGTACTAAGGGATTACATTCTCCTCCACCTGCAGCATTATCCTACAGAAAACAGAAATAAAAAAAGTTATTTTGATATACAACAAACTGCAATTGGCGTCCAACCCACACTAAGTAACAAACAACGGTGAAAAAGGCAAACCAGCCTAACCACGCAAAATCTCTTCAAGGACAAATTCTAACGGGAATAAAACACAGAGAAAGTGAAATTGTTCATTTCCAAAATCGATTTTAATAACCATCTGTTTGTGTCTTTCCCTTTAATTATTAAATGCTCGAGTTTTTTACGACGAAAAGTGACAGCGAGAAAGTTGAAAAACAAAAAAGTTTTCATTGTTCGTAACTGAATGGGAACGAAGGTAAAGAAAAAAATGGTAGTTTAGATCCTTACGAAGTATGCGAAGTTTTTATTTCGGTTTCCACTAGCGAAATTGAGGTCGATTGCACTTAATAAATAAATTCAATCTCTTGCTGTAAACACAAATAAATTTTACAGATTCTTAGGGAGGGAAAACATTCTACTTTGTTAGTGTTTTCATATAACAACAACATTTCTTTTATACTGAATTTCTTATAAATGAAATTTCGTATTAAATTCGAAAAGTTTCCAATTTATCAACTAGAATGTATTATCAATTGTAATGTATTTCATCTTGTGAATGAGCGTGAAATTGGGGTTTTTTTCCGCTCATTCAGAGTTACGAACCGACGTGAAATTGCCATTATTTCCCCATTACAAATGAGAATTATATTGACATTACACGCTTCTGAGTCTGAATGGGCATAAAATAGATATTTCTAAAGATGAAATCGATAGTGAATAGTTTTATTTGTGAGTGAACACGAAACTGGCATTTTTTTGTTTTGTAATTCATGAATTCTGAAAGATATATATGTGGTATATATATACTGTAGCAGTACATTTCTCTACTGGAATACGAATTAATTTCAAATTCTTCACTGATCGTAAATATATTAAAAGTGAAAAACTATTATTTTATTTTAAATCGGATCGAGAGAAGAATATAATTATCATTCTTATATAATTAATTCTAAATATTTCATTGGCCTAATCTTTATTCACTTCCTATGAATAAGAAATAAAGCATTATGCAACTTCACCTATGAAGGAATGCAATTATCGTTTTCATTCCATGCCACGAAAGAAGGAAAATTTAATTTCGTAATGTAACTTGATAATGAACTTTGAAACAAAGAATTTAATTACTTTAAATTACTACGAAAACATCTTAGTAATAATTTAAAATATATATATATATTGGAAGGCATTTGTAACAATAAATTACAATTATATAATACAAAATATTTCTTTTCAAAACTAAAAAATTAACCCAGTTTCTAATAGAAAAAGCTGAACTTACTTCTGAAAACGGCTTCTAACACTCCAGCTTGTAAAATCTGTATCAGTAACTTCACGAGTACCGTTCTTATGACGTCACGTTTTTCCCACAATACCATTCGACTCAATTAATTTCTATAAAAGGCTAAACTGTCACACAGCAAAGTAATAAGACAGAGAGAGAGAGACTGACAACTCGGCGAAGGCGAATAACAAAAATCATTTTCGATTTATTTAAACGAGACGTGAATGAATTTGATTTAATTTTATTTCTTCATTGGACTCAACACAAAGCATTTAACACAAGAAATAAACGGAAATGACGATTTAATTTGGAAATCGCTTGATTAAGTAACTCCTTTATTTTTTTGTTAACGAATAATACATTATAATTAATATACACATTAATACGAATTCCGACACGTAAATCAACGAATGACCTCAAGTTTCCTTTATAAAATAATAAAGTGGGTGTTACATAACTCGTCTTAGTGAAAGTGGAAGTGACGTCAATAGGGTGTGAAATGCGGTTACTAGTACTTTCACACCTGTTCGAACACCAAATGAAAATTATTAAATTTTATTCATTTTAATAAATATTCCATCCAGTGCATTAACCGAGAAACCGATACAAAAACTATTCGAATATAGAAAAGGCAGAGAATAATTTTATTACTGTATTATTATTATTATTTAACTAACTGTTACAGAGGAAACTATTCGGAATGATCGTTTTATAAACGAACGATTGAATATAGGATGCCCTTGGCCTTCACATTGGGGAAAAAAATTTTTACCTTAAATGTGCCGGCGTTAACTCCATTAGTGGTACAACCAACGGGTTCAACAACCGATCACACACAGTAATGGAAAGTTTCGAGCATGCGTCTTTTAACAGAATGCAACTGCATCTTAAGTAAATAAATTAATTTCCAACAAACTTGACCCCAAACATTTCTCAAATTTTAATTTGACGATTATTATAAAAAAAAAAAAAAGTTTTCACTCGTTCACTTTCTAAACTCGGAAACAACATTCTTTTCAATTAAACAACAACTAGTTATTCAAACGTTCCATGATCAATTTGTAGGCAAAAATTCGTCTGGTGGAATTAAATAGTACATATTTACAAATATGAAAGCATTCCATTAAGTAATTGGACTCGGTGAGTTTTAGCTAATGAGATAGCAAGAATGCTAATATTGCATGTAAACTCATCATCTTAGATCTACGTGAAAGACTTCTAACGATTCTTTCACTCGAGTAATAAGTTAGGCTTCAATATAATTACTTAATTTTTTTTTTTTTTTAATTTCTTGACGTCATTCTTACGTCGGATGAAAAAGAATGCCGATGCTCCGAGAAAGACAGGCAATGCCTTAAGCGATACCGACGATAGTTTTATTGCTAGTTTACAAATGAAACTGTTTGGTTTGCCGAGATGTATATATATATTTTATTTCCATTACCATTTTTCCTCTGGAAATCTGGTTCTCCTACTAGTCGACGCCTACGTTCGGGCTAGAGTTCACTGTACCCTACTAAAAATCTACTCTCTTCACGCAAACTTAAAACTTCTCCACCCAAAACTTGCAGCTGCATCACGTTTTCTTAAAGTGCCATCTCTTGTTAGTTTCGTAGATGATCACACAAAAATGATATCTTGTTACTCGAGAAATGATATATAAAAATGATCTCGTTTTTAATAAGAGCGTTGAACTTGAGATCATCATCGAGTAAACCCATATGATGGCCATCGGCGCGTGCCGAAACATTTGTATGATCGAAAAACAACCACCGTTGTATTCTATTTTAATTATATCTAAACAGGAAGTAAAATTTCTCTCTGTTCACATGAATAAACTCGTGTTGCAGAATAGAAAGTAGTAGAAAAAACAAAAACAAAACTTGATATGGTTTCAAGCTTGTTTGGCTATTTTAAGGAAGAATAAAGATGATGATGATATGATTTTCAAAAAGTATAGGCCTATATATATTATATGTATATAAAAAAGGATTTTTAACGAAACACAAGAGTTATTATCTTTTAAATTTTTATCACATTACTACACGTTGTTAGTAATTTCACACGTTTGTAATTATGAAATTTTTGTTTTAAAAATATTAAAAACTTGTAAACTTAAATTACTCGTACGTGTGAACGTACGAGTAATTTAAGTTTATATCAATAGTCTATTATGTAGGTTAATGTTCGAATAAGTTTTTCATATTATAATATAATTTTCTCTTAAAATGCCATTAAATAAAATCTATATTTTCAGAGAGACAATCAAACTTTCTACACATAAATCTAATTAAGAAAGTGATATCTAAATGAATTATAATACTGAAAACGTGACTAGATACACCAAGTCTACGATAAACTTACCTCTCTATAAGATACTATGACTTACAGGTTACAATGTTATAAATAATTGTAAAATATTAAGTGTTCTTGCTTTCCTGCAACGTTTAAAAATGAAATAAAACGATGTCACTAGTTATTGAATTATATAGAAACATCTATTTGTTCGACTCTTTAAGTACAGACCTACATTAACCCCGAAAAAAAAAAAAAAACTAAATCACGATCCAGCCCGTAGACCGAATCGAAAAAGTTCGTGACATTGACTTATGACATTCATATATAAGTGAAGACAGCGTGGGCTTTTTAACCAGACAGAAACGGGAGCAGAGATGACAGATTTTTAAAAAGAAAACACCCAGTAAACAAAGGCTAAACCCTTTTAATATTATCCATTTTAATAAACGTATACATTTTTTTTTCTTTTTTTAATGTTTAAACGAACAGCTCGAGTCAGCTCGTGACGGTGAGAATAACTTACATTCGTGCACAAAAATCACGTTAAGACAATTCGAAGGATCTGGTCAAGTCCAAATACTGTCAAAAGAAAACTTTCATCTTGTTTAAAGTTGTTTAATCATAAATTAGCATACAAAAGAGTTTTCGCATTAGCATGAAGTGATTAATTATAAAAGAGGACTTGATCTCATTCATTGGAACTTGTTTTTCCTAGTTTCTTTTTTTTTAAATTTTTCTTGTGTTTTTTGTCCTTTATTAGATACAATTTACAATTTAAAACTGAAAAAAATAAGAAGAAATCGAGCAAGTTTTTAATTCTTTGTACTGTACGATACGATAAATTCCAGAAAATAAAACCCGTATTAAATGATACATTAATCGATGATCCTATCTTTGAATGAATGATTTGATTATAGAAAAGCATATGTAATAATCAATCCTAAATATAAAACCAGATAGTACAGCTTAGCTACGATGGAGTCACCTGTTAGGACCGGTTTAAGGACAACCTCCCTCGATTTCACCTACGTTTAATGTCACACTAACCTAAATAACATCTGTAGAAGCCTAAGTACTGCAAACAGACCGGAGAGAGATGATAGCCTTGGAGACGTATCTCTATCTAGCGCGGGTGGATAGAGATTTATACTTCTCATATAAGATTATTATAATTATCCTTTAATTATTATAAATATCTAGATCTGTCAATGCCCTACTAATGTTCATTTTTGAACTATTTTTTAATATGTAGAGAGATTCTTATTAAGATTTCTTCGAAATTCGTAGAATTATCGTAAAAAAATACTCAAGATTCTTACAAAATTGCCCTTTTGTTAAAACTTAGATACTAAAGACTAAGATGAGAACCTTTATTTCTGAGGCACAAGTCTTTTTTTTTGCAGGCATGTGATACTAAAATAGAGGTTTTCATTGTTTCGCGACCCACACTTTGTTTCTTTTAATAACCTACAAAAACAATATACAAAACTAATTTCTTTCTCTTTCAATTGCTATATGTTTTTTTATTTTTAAGACATGTCAAAAAATAAGATGGCCAACATAGATATCCGCGATAGTTACACCCAATTTGTTGACCCGCAATTAACTATTTAATGATTTCGTTTTTAAAGAAAAAAGAAAAAAAAAATTGGCATTCGTTTAATATAAAAGTCGATCATTAAAGTGAAATGCTACTAAATTGATAATTGTATTCTTGTTGTAAGCCATATTTGGAATAGAATATTTTCGTGAATCAGATTATAAGACCGGAGGCAAAGAACGTCTTCTTTAAGACACACCCTACGTGTGAACGTCCGAAATAAGGAGCACTTCCCAACTTTGTTTTCGCCTATTCGCATACTCACATAAGACAACCTACTTTACATTTTAAATAATGCAACATCGTCACTAACCGTATATGTGACACCAATACAGCTTTCGGAAATCCTTCTCCTAGTTCCTCGACCTTTTCGGGCTGATATACGAGCACGAACTGACCCCCCGCATAAGAGGACCTCGTTATAAAATGGAACAAAAATAAGGAGGAGGATTTCTAGTAAACTGCATATTATTAAAAACAAAACAAAGGAAAATAGTTTGCTACTAAGATTATATAATACAGCGTGGCTCTATGTATATATATATATATATATAGCCTTACCCCCTTTTCTTTATTTAGAAAGGTCAAATTCCGAAACCTCTGTAAGCTCGTTTGGAAGATTTGGAGAAGACAATGGTCCTTCCTCGATTGTTATATGACAAACCCTCTTGTTTATGAGGTATAATTTCGGGTTTGGTAAAGTACAGTATTCACTAGAAGTAACAGGTGTGGCATTTTAAGGAAAATTATACAAAATTATCATTACTCGACAAAGAAATGTTGAACAATGTTATTCAGATTAAACATCACCAGATAATTTTTTTTAAACTAAGAAATTGCTTAAATGATGCACTTTCCGCCAATAAGAACACAGTTTAAATAATCGTTTGAAATAACCGCAAACTCCATGTGTTCTTAATAGGAAAGCATATGGCGTGTAAAGAGTAAATTTTACACGTCTTAAAACCGTTACAGAATTATCTTTTTTTTTTTTAAATTTTTTTTATTCATAACAGCAATAGAAAAAAAACAATCTCGTATAACCATTAGAAAAAAAATCAACATTTGAAACGATCATCCTGATTGGTTATTGAGCGGAAAGAAAAAAACATCCAGATGAAGATCCGGTCACGTGACTCGGTGGCAGACGAACTTCGGCAATTCTCTTCCGGTCGCTGAATTTTTACTTAATTTCGAAGGATTTTTACTCGAAATATTCAGTTTTTTTTTATTTAATAATTAAATAAGTCGAGTATCATCGAACGGAATGTAAGACATTATCGAAAAAATCCAGTTAGGTGGGAAGGGGTTCAGTTAAGGGTTTAGGGTTAAACTAACATTAAAAAAAATAAACAAATAAAAAGCGAATAACGTAAAATAAAAAAAACGATAAAAATACCTTAAGATCTTCACACAATCTTCACGTATTTATATATATATATATATATATATATATATATAACT